CCGGATTACCTACCAAGTATGCCGAGGATTGCTTCGTCCCAGTAAAGCGACCAGACCAGCAGACGAAGGACATACACGCAAAGATTGGACCGAAAGACGTCACTAATATGCCACTGAACAACCAAACTGTGCAAGAGACCTTGGCGGAAGACTACAGTCTACATGATGACGGACAATCAAGTCGTAGCTGGTCCAGAAAGAGAATATAAACAGGTTCGTATGAAAATAAAAAACAAAACACAAAATCGAGAGGATGAAAAAAGCGAGTCAGAAGCAGGAAAAAAAAAATTAACAAACGTAAATTTAACTAGGTAACTAACCACATCAGGGATCATGATTCAGACAAAATATTCAGCGGGAGATAAAATCTTATAGACAAGACCGATCAAAAAATAAAGGTAGAACATGATGAACAAAGGGAATGCATGAGCGGCAAACGAGAGCTTTAAAGGAAAACAGAAAAAGGGCTTATCAAACTGTTTTCGCCTTGTCTCCAGCTTGTGCATCGAATACACCGGGGCCATTCAGTTCAGTTACTACTTCACTGCAATAACGAATGGAAGATTTCCTTGCCAAATCACGCAAAAGGAAAGGTCGCCTCGTGATGCCACTGAAATGGTAGATATGATGTGCAACAGCACGACAAAAATGTCGAAGATATGATATCCAAATTACCGATACTTCCCTGCGGATTACAGAAACGTAACCTAAGCCCTTATGGAAATAATAAAAAAAATATATATAGCTTTTCTTCAACATTCAAAATGACAGCGGGAGCACGTTAATATTATCGTCTATTTTACGGGGAGAGTGTGTTGAAACCTATAAGATGGAAGCGGCATCCCGACAAATAGTAAGAAGAAGAGGGATCCCGAGGAAGGAATGCACGGGCTGGAGGACGGAGGCCTGGCCATGAGCGGACGATGCCGAACATTCTTAATGTAAATATCTGTATATAAACGCTGTTGTTGACCTCATAAACTGACCATCAGTCGTCAGCCGTTCTTACAACAGCTTCTAACCCACTTTAGATTGTCCGCAAAAATCGGTTACTCAACGTCTCACGCTACGATTTACTAGAGAGGTGCGGCTGGGTTGTGGAAACATAAATAATATCAACGGATGAGCTTACCCGGTTGAAAAGAAAAAAAAAAAAAGCCTGTTGTGGGTTCTTTACGGCGGCATTCGCAGACATCATCATAACCGGGCTTGCCTAGTTGTATGTGCTACCGAAAGATGGCACAACGTAATACATGAGAGTAATGCAACGCCTCGACCGATAATATTCGTACCAAATATATGAAGCCATGAGGGATTTAAACCCGTGTATTTTTATTAGGTAATATTTAATAAATAAATTATCGCACAATTAGAATTTAACTTTAGAGAGACGGGCGCCGGCATAGTGAAAAAGTTTCCGATGAACGTCTGCTAAGCTCGGCGCCGGCGCCATCGACGCTTCCGACATCTGTCGGCGGTAGATTTAACCAGGCGAGTCCGGTCATGACGTCATCTTCGAATGTTGACCGCGGTAGATAGCCCGAAGCCGGCTTTTCTTCTTTCTTTTTTTTGAACAAGGTAAGCTCATCTGTTTTCCTACAAAGGTTGCATCTATGCACCTTTGTAGGAATTCGCAGCGCGATACCTGGAGAAACCGATTTTTGCGGGCGTCTAAGTTGCTTAGAAGCGTTAGTTTACGTGCTGTAGTAATGCAAAAAAATACTTGTTTTCGCCTCACGAATAGGAGCTTTGATCAAGATGCCTTAACACATTTGTATACTATTTACCTATGTCTGTATTTATTATTATTGGAGGGTAGCAGATAAAGTGCTCTAGCCTAGTAAACAGCACAACCAAAAGTAGATTACTGCAGACTTTGTTAAATCGAATCTTCTGTACTCAAGCTCATAGTTGGGCACGTGACCACACAACGACGTAATTCCAGCTTTCGTGGCCAATAGATTGGTTTTCAACGTGCCTACAATCTATATTTTATATAGTAGTCAAGGACTTATACCAGCACATTGTAAATAGATTATTTCAGCCGTAAAACGCAAAAAAAAAACTGAGCATATTTTTTTTTACTATTGTGCTTGTTGTTTTTTAATCACGCACAATTTTGTTTTATTTTATAGCCAGTGTTGGGCCGAATATCCTCTAGCCGCCATGTCTGCAACGATTCTATGGATGTTAATACTATTATGGGATAATTTTAGGCGTTGGAATTCTAGCAATATTAAAGGGTAAAAAAAAACGTACCTTCAATCACTCTTGTGACTTCGTTGGCGAAGTGTGCTGCTGTCTAGACATAGGCGCTGTGCAGGAAGGAGGCTGCATCTGCGCTTCACAGCGGACTGAGCGCAGCAACGCAAATTCATAAATATAGTGTACACCGTAGAAATTTTATTTCAGCAAATCTGTGTTCCACAGAACAGTCTGAAATAAAAGGAAGTCCCCGGCTCTATGTTCCAGCTGGAAAATAACATGCACGTGAAACCTTTTGTCATTTCTTTACGTGTTTACAAAAACGATGAATCTTTCATATATAACAAATAACATTTCGTAAATGTTATTTGTTTGTATATTTACAGAAATGTTTGTAGAGTAACCGTTTGCGGAGTTCACGTAACCTCCTAATATTTCTGATTACTCATAAAAAACGAAGGTGATAAAATCTTCCAGAAAAAATTATATTAAAAAATTAGCTTTTCCTCCAAACGATAATCGTCTACCAGCGTGTGTTCCCAACGTTACCTATACTTCGTTTTACCTTAAAGAGTGATGCAGGTAAAGAAGTGGAAATATTAAAAAAAATGTGATTGTGTGTTTCATTGTTTTATTACTCCTAAATCTTCATACTTTATGTATAGAAAAATAAGAACCGAACAATGTTGCAGAATTAGTCAAATTTTCATTTTAAAACCTTCCGGGGACCTAGGAAGTCGGTGATGTGAGCCATGTTTGTAGGTGTGGTTCTGCGAATTGGGAGGTCGCCTGCCACCATAATTATTTTGACAAGTAAGCGTAGGCATGTACTCTCCACCCCTCCTTTCGTAGCCTTAATTTCTTTACAAAATAACAACAAAAAACGTTTTGTCTCACCGCGATGGACTGTTGCTTTATTCACGATAGAAACTGCTCAAACGACGCAGACGAAGTGAAGAAGCAAACAAGATAAGACGGTGTCGTGTTTGTTTCCTCGCTTCGTCACCATGGTTTGAGCTGTTTTCACCACGTATTACGTTTAGCAATTCGACTAATTTGCTACCTATGTAGAGTGTTGCTCACACATTTATGGTAATATTAAAACGCGTTTTGAAGTTTTTGCAGTCTTGAGGCCTGGAGCTTCACAGATTGCGCACAATACTTTTTGCTCTTAACATTGTCTTATGACAACCAAATTTGGCATGTTAAAACTTTAGGAAATAAACAGTGAAGGTGTAACTAGAATGCATATTCTTATAATTATAGACACTTAAAGAAATAGTACTTTGAAAATGGTGTTTTTGTTATTTTTACTTATTTAAGACGAAGAAGCTACCGTACAAATGTTTATTTATTGCACTCAGCTCTTCAAAAGGTACAAATTAGCCTATTTTACTAGGTTCTTTTTTGTGCCTTGCCATGGCCCATATGCGCAAACGGACATGGGATTGTTTGAACGTGCATTACACCCAGTGCATTAAAAACAAGCTATATAAAAACTAACTTCACATTTATGAAGATGCGATCAAGTACTATAAACTGCGGAAATTTCATTCAGTTGTCACAAATACTGAAGAAAATATGTTTCTTCCCCTGGCGCCCGGACGCAGAAGTTCGGACGCAGATGACGCTGCGAGCTCATGGAACGAATCAAACAGTGCCCAAAGCACAAGACACTGTGTCTTCCCCGTTCATGATTGGCTCAGCCGTAATTTAAAGCGTACAGAAAATTTACAAACACCAAGTGGAGAAGAACTTGACACAGAGTTATTGGTCCCACAAGGTCATAACGATGACTACGTTCGGTCTTGAGATTAAATGAAGTATATCTATTTTGGTCAATAGGTATACACATGCGAGTAAAAAAAAATTGTCGAGAATTTTCCAGTAAAATATTTCATGATAAAGGAAACAAGAAAGAAGGCGTCTCAAAGTGCGCCTCCCAACTCCGTGCATTCGATATCTGGTTTTGTGGAACTAAAATTTGATAACCGAAAGAATTCACTCTCTGGGTATGACTACCATTTAGAGAACTTTCGAACGGTTTACAAAATATTCACGTCAGTTCTAAAGAATCAGGATGTTAGCTTACATTCATGAGGACGGCTCTTGCCAATGTTAATTTTTATAGAATATAGGTCAGTCAGTTTCAGCATATTTTATTTTCTTAGAAACACTGAAAGTTTCCCAATTGATCTTGAGGTGAGCACGTTGGTATAGCGTAAATTCTTAACAAAGAAAACATAAAAAAAACACGGACGTCACATATTTCGTGTTGTCTAATTGTTCGGTAATTATATTTTTAGTTTTTCGTAAGTTTTCCCTTACGAATAAATCCTTAAAGGGGCAGTCAAGCGGTTTTTGAGTTCGTGTTTTGATGATGACAGCTGAATTAAGACACCCGAAGTATCCCTAAAAACCAAAAAATATAGTCATACGGTGATTATTTCTTTAATAAAAATGTAAATGAAGACCGCCAAACCTCGGATCCACCCGAAAACGAAACCACTCTCATTGGTCATCGCACGCATATCAAAACGATCTCGGGCCAATGGCGTTGAACGACGCTCCGTCGCGCAGCGATCCCGAGGTAGCCGCACCGGCCGAACTTCTTTGTCATTCGAGCTTTGATCATGGCGGAGTTCTGTACGCTCGAGGACCTGACGCCGTTGGAGCTTGACATTCTTCGGCGGACAGCCGACCTGGGGATGATTTCCTACGACGCTACTCCGACGTGTGATGTATACGACAGCAGCGCATCGGAGTCGTGTTCGGGCTCTGATGACGAGCAGGCGGCCATGTCCGAGGACGAAGACGGCGCCTTTGACGAGACGGGGCGGATCGGCAACACCGACTGGTGGGTGATACGCTGTTTATTTTACCGCTGTATGTGTCATTTACGCTTGCTCTCTTCTTATCTTCTTTCTCAAAGGTGCCAGTGCGGATGTTGCGCGCAGATGCCGACAGCTGACGAGTGCGTCTGCTGCCGCGAGTACCCCGCCGCCGCGTCGAGGCAACCTGGCTGCCTAACAAGCAACCCGGATTTCGAGACGGTGTGCTTGAATCCGGGGGTGCTCGAGGTCGCCTACCTCATGATGCGCCACTACCGCCAGGACGGAATGGGCACAACAGCGCACGAGTGAGTTCAACGCCATAATTTGCTGTTCGGCTAACTTGCAAACCGGCGCCAGCAGTAAAACGTTAGACAGCTACTTTACTATCTGTTTCAGTGAGCGTTACGCACGTTACTTTTCAAATGTGAAGTCACATTAGCGGTTGCATAGCATGTTTTACTTGCGTTTCGTGCCGTGTTTCATTGTGAAGTTGTGGGTCATCAGAAAGTAAAATGTTCAAAACCTCGATTGCTGCATCAGTATCTCTTGCTTCAGAACAAGTTCGTGAGATCTGGTTAGCTCCAGTTTAGCTTATCACTAGTGATGGGACGGACCTTTATTCGAATCTGAAGGTTCGGAAAGATTCGGAAAAGTAGCCGAATCCCAAGCGATTCGGAAAAGTTTGGAAACATTCGGAGCGTTGCCATGGTTGTCAAATCACGTTGATGAGTGTTTCAACTTTTCGTGATATTATACTCACTGAATTCTACAAAGTGCACTAAATATATTGTAATATAATATCACAGTAATAAATAAAATGTTCCGCTTTGTTTAAATTATTTTGGATGTTTGTCGAGAACGGTAGCCAGACATCTCGGGAAAATTGGTTTCAGTTCCAAATTACGACCCAATAGGCATGCTTGGTGCACACACATAGAAATGCAAGCGCATTTTTTCATCGCTGTAAGAGATTGATGCCGTACGTGCTCTTCGGTACAGACCCATTTCGTGCCCATAATTACTGTCATAGTGGCACACAACCACACAAGTGAGTATGTTCGATTCGATTATCTCCAACGAGTTTCCACTGAGGTATAGGTGACATTCACTTGACGTCACTCGCTAGGTTCGCTGGCATCGCCCACCACGGTCGCCATCTTCGAGGTCTCTTTCTATCGCGGGTGTCGTATGGCCGGACCTTTTGAGCGTGGTTTAGCAGCATTTTACAACATTAAAGAGCCTTTTTAACCGAAACTAGGGGTTATTCTTATACTTTGGTGCTTTTGAAGCGCCGTAGCAGTATTTTTTGTGTGTTTTAGTTCGTTTTTGTCGCTATCGGACTCGTTCACCGCGGCCGCGTTGCCCCCTCGGCTCCATGAAGCGCTCCGTGTCGCGCGCCGTGCCCACGGCGGTAGCTCTTGCAAGAACTGATTTTTCTACTTTGGTGATTTTGTAGCACGGTGTGATTACTCTGTTTTGTTTTGCTAGTTTCTTTATTGTTTTTCTCTAGCGGATTTGCTGCACTACGGCCGTGTAACCGCGTTGCTCCATCGCCTCTGTGTCGTACATACGTCCTGCCTTCGGTGTTCGTTCCTGTGCAAAGACATACCGTGCGGCTCACAGAGTGCGCAGCTTATGAAAGATGCGGCGCATTTTTCATTAGCCCTAGCGATTTAAAAACCGCATGTAAGCGATTTGGCGAGCGGCGAGACAAGCGACGGTGACCCGCTTCGTTGCCGCGAGGCGAACCGCATGAAAGCGTCGGGAGCAAACGACCAAGGCGATGAGCACTAAGTTTTCTAAAAATCCCAAAACAGAGCTACGCGACGAGCGACAGTGAGGCGTGAACCGCATGTAAGCGATTTAGCGAGCGGCGACGAGTGACGGAGATTTCTCACTGTCGGTTGTCGCTCGGTTTTTAGATTTCTAGAAAACGTCGCTGATCGCCTTGGTCGCTTGCTTCTGTCGTTTTCACGCGGCTTGTCTCGTCGCGCAAGTGACCGAGCGACAGCGAAGCGGGTCGTCGTCGCTTCAGTCGTGGCTGTCGCTCGTCTCGTCTCATTGCTCGCTTACATGCGGTTCAGCCTTTACACACGCGGTACTCGGCGGCAACAAGAAAACTAAAACGGCCCGCCCCCGAGATAAACCTCTTTCTTTCTTGTTCAACGAAAGCTCCTTCAACGATATAAAATTATACGACCGCGTAGCCAAGCCAGTCAAACCGCGACCTCGAAGATGGCGAATCGACGGTGGCGCTCCCTGGCAAAATTGAACCTGCAGGCTCAGTGAATACCGCCTATTGCTATCGAAACACGGGAAACAATGTGAAACTCCTGGTTAATGCTATCCGATTTAGTTAGTGTTTCGTTGCAAACAATGAAGTCGCGTTGGACACCGCTGTGTTGTGTTTTTTTTTTTCGTCAAATAAAGTTCACGTATAAAAAAACTTGCTGACGAGAACGGAGAAACGACAGTGCAACGTTTTTCTTCGCCACCGGTGCCGGTACGCGGTCGAAGTTGTGACGAGCAACATTCATCTAGTTTTCGCGCCTTATAGGTGCAGACATACGCAGCTCTAGAGAAGGAGACAAATCATTTCCTTGCCTGAATATATATTTCTTGTACGTTGCATCACATTATGTATAATACTCCTCATTTTGCTACATCTTACCGATCACCGCGAAACCGCACAGGAAGCGAAACCGTGCATTGGTTAGGCCCACGTCAACCACACCGATCAGCTCAGCTGGACCTTGGCGCCTGCCAGGGTTTAGAACGACAGTTTAGTACATACCATATGTTGAAATAAGCAAGACGAAATCTGGTTATATGCAGTAACAGTACCTAAGAAAAGCACAACTGTCCACATTGGCGAAGTTTACGACTATTTTCACACTGCCGTCTGCAACCAGCGACGAATCTGATGAATCTGTCCGAATCCAAATCTCCGGTGATTCGTCCTATCACTAATATTACGTTCACATTATGGACCTAACGGGCGTAACTTTTGCAACAAACGTTGGCACAACATGCATAAGCGCTACGCTCAGGGTACACTACTGAACGCAGCGTTCACACCCATTGGAGTAGTGCGCTCAAGTTTCGCCTCTGACTGCTGCGCCACTCGAGACCCCCGTGGGATGCCTTTGAAGTTTTGATATGGCCATTTTCTCCTCGGTAGCAGCGACGGGCTTGCAATTGTGTCGTTAAAAAAGCTGATCACGGCGGAATGTGCCCCTTGATCATTGCCCCTTAATTCCACTCCGGCAGGTGCAGCTTCCAGACGAAATGGTGCGTCGAGACTTTGAACACTAGATAAAAAACAACAAAAAAGCTAATTTCCCTCAGCTTCATTGAAGTCCCTCTCTGAATTATCCAAACGTTATTGATAGCGTGCAAGCAATTATGATAAAAGCAATGCCCCGTCTCTTTGGCGTGAACTACTGCATCTCTTTGCCACAAAGAGATGCAGTATTTCGATCAAGTCAGCATGAACAGTGCTGCCGCATATTTTAGGGTTTGTGACATGCATATTGTTGTGCATGTTAGGCTTTGGTCATCTGGTCTGTTGGAACAACCTAATATAATGTTCACACCTGTCAATTGAATTTGTGGAAAGAATAATGGACACAATCTAGAACTTGCTCTGCTCTTCGGGTTATTTTAGATCGGTTGCTGCCCAGGCATGAGGGCCCGTTGCAGCACTTTTTTTTTGTTTCTACTGGTAGAGCCCAGAATCTGCAATTTTAAAAGGTTGTGATATTGCGTCTTACAGAAAATTATTGTGGTTATTCTTTCAGGCGCAACCGCTACGCCGCCTACCGGCAGTGCGTCCTGTGGCTGTGGCGGCGCCTTGGCCAGCACAACAGGCGACCACTGCCATCCTGTGTGGTGAAGGCCATCAGGGGCCAGTTTCCCGACACTTCATATTCTGGCTTTCGGCACAGTCACTGAAAGCCACTCTGGGGGCTCAAGCATATGAGGGTAAGTCAAAACGTATCTGCAATGTGGCTATAACGTTTCGTACATTGTTTTTACTGACTTCTGTCTTCGTTTATTTTATTGTTACGCCGTTGTGGTTCTGCTATGAAAGTTTGACCATAATTCATTTGTTTTCTCTTTGCTGCAAATAGATCATGGCCCCTCCCTTGGAAGTTTGCACCAAAGAGGAAAAGCGAGCAGGGAACCAGTGTCTCGCTCAACGGAGTGTCTATGAATTGAGCGTCCACACCTTCCGACCACATAAACCGGAACCCTGCTCGTTTTTCCTCTTTGGTGCAAACTTCCAAGGGAAGGGCTGTGATCTATTCGCAACAAAAGGAAAACCAAGGAAGAATTATTATCAAACTTTCATAGCAGGACCACAACAGCATAACAATAAAATAAACGAAGACAGAAGTCAGTAAAACAATGTACGTAAAGTTATAGCCACATTGCAGATATTTTTTCACTTGCCTGCACCCCCCCCCCCTCCCCTCCTCAAGCGGATTCCCACCTTACTGTGGTGGAGGGGTTTGTGTGCCCCAATGACCCTCTTGGGCTATGCCGGCCAGGGTCACCCATGCCGGACAGGCCAGAGGATAGGGGCCAGACAAAGAGGAATCCGTGGGTTAGTACCCACCCATGCCTGCCTTACTGAAAGTGTAATGTATATTCACATCGCAGGCATGGGTGGGTTAGTACCCACCCATGCCTGCGATGTTAGAAATGTTGAAGTATTGATTCCTTCGTTGATTGACAAAGTGTCAATAGTGCCATGTGATCTTTGAAAGGCACTAAAGATATGTGAATCCGTCATGTATGTTGTGAAGGTAATAAAATGCGATTGCTTTTTTGGACACATTAACCACGTCTTTGTCATACGAGTTTCTCTTTGGGGAGGTATACAAACATGAGTGGTGTACAGGGTCGTCCACTCTGCGTGGCCAGCGCTCCGCGAAGCGCCGCAGGTGAGCGCCTTGCGAGTTAGGGCCAATTAGTGCGCAGGCTCAGGGAGAGCCAGGGGCCAAGCCTCCCCCGCGTCATCTGCTACAGTGTCGGCACAGCGGCCATGTTCTGAGGCGAAGCAAGCACTGTTCTTACATCCCTGGTGTCACATGATACTCAGAAACTTTGATCTGCAAGTGCTCTGCACAACTTGTTCCTCTGAGAAAGGTAAACCAGCCGGCACACAGCAAGTGTCCCGCACGAGAAAAAATTACTTTGCCACATAGCGAAGTAATTGCCGCGTCGGTTGCTTATGTAGCAGACGACGCAGCAAAGGCTTGGACAATGGTTATCTCTAATCGGCCCCAATTCACAAGGCAGCCAACTGCGGCGCTCCACCGAGCATCAGCCTAAGGCCCCTGAATAAGAAAGGTAGCGACATCTTCCCCCCCCCCCCCTCCTTTGACGCGCACACCTTTTATCGTTATGTTTTGCTTTTTCGCACCCGTGTGTCGACTGTAGCGCCTCCTGGAACGCTCCAAGATAGCAGACGGCCTTCCTATACTTGAGTCAGAGCGCACTCAAAGGCTTGAAGACACGGAAATACATGGACACAGGCTAAAAGCGCACTGTCACGGTCTGCCAGCCGCGAAGAATGTGCTCAAAGAAAGGCAATGAAAGCCGTGACGTTGCACAGTCGGCGTTATTTGATTGGCGGCATGAGCTCATAGCATGCACTGCACTCCGACAGAATAGGCATTCCTTCTCCCTTCTCGTCCCTCATGCACACTTTTATTGTTATCTTTTGCTCTTTCGCGCTCGCGCGTCGACGGTAGCGCCGCCTGGATCGCTCCAAGATAGCAGGCGGCATTCTTCAAAGGATGTCGCTACTTTTCCGTATACAGGGGCTTTACATCAGCCACGCAGTGCCGTGTGCACCCCAACAGTGGACAACCATGTACATCGAGACCTACTTGCTTATTTGCAGGGCACAATCATGACGCAATTTTTTTAATATGATTTCACCATTCCTTTATTGGCAGAAAATGCCCTCTATCCATTTTTTATGCCCGATGCACCGGATCCTACAGGTAATTTTTAGGTTACATTCTATCTGCTTCCACCTTCTCTTGATGAGTCAGGTGAAACAGAAAAGTTATTCCAAACATTTATTTATAACTATCTGGAGTGCAGTGCACCTCCCAGTCTACACAGGAGAGATATCGCACAAAGGTGAAACAAGAGAATGATTCAGATGGGGGAAAACCGTGGTGTAGACTGGCAGTACTGCTTGGATATCATTAAAAATAACTCTGAGTGATCCGAGTTATGCACAACTTTACTCAGCATTGCCAGTCTACCTCCTGGCTGAAAACCCCATTTATTAAAAAAGTCGCAGGCGAGCAGTGCTGTAATCGTGGTAACTCCTCTTCAACCTGTCAGCTTGCCAGCACATGAAATGGAAAATCAACGCCAGGGTATTAGATGCTTCAATTATAAAAAAGTAACGTGCCATGAACACGTTCATTAGTGTGCTTCAACTGAATATACATTACACTTTCAGTAAACCTACTATTTTTCCTTTGACAATGTTGGAAATTCCTGGCATGCAATGACAGACCCTGTCCTTCTACTTGGTTGTCAATGTCACACTCCGGTCGAGGTCACATTATGAACAGTGCGTGAGATGGTAGCCCACTCGTAAGTATAGGGTCCTGATTATCTTGACTTCCCTAATGTAGCTGCACCGAAGACAATATACTGACCAGACTTTCTCAAATAAATGTTACGCCTCACTCCTTGCTAACAAATATTGAAAAATGGAGGCCTCCTGATATATTTTTCTTTGCTCGCTGGTGTTCCTTGTCCTCTAGCATCCACACTGGCAGGTGATATCAGTCGTCAAAGCTTGCATCTCTCGTGGTCCTGAAATCCAAACACAAATGTTGGAATAGGTCTCAATTCTACTTAAAAATGATTGCAAAGCAACACATATCCTTACTGCAGGGTCTCTGGTTTCAGGATTGGCCATTCTTTCCTGGTAGTGCTCACCTGGTGCAAGTGTTGTAAAACAAACTTGCTTCTTTATAAGCTGGTTCACCCTTTGCTGCAGCCAAACTTACTGCCCGGGGCATTTTTGTAGAGAAAAAGTGGCGTGGTTACAGGACTGCTAGCATCGTGCAGCGGCCACACTTACTGCTGGCTTTCATGACGAGACTGCGGGACGATTGAGTGGACTTTGTACTGCCTGGGGCATTTCTGTAGAGAAAAGGTTGCGTAGTTACAGAACTGCTAGCATCGTGCAGCGGCCACACTTACTGCTGGCTTTTATGACGAGACTGCGGGACGAATGAGTGGACTTTGTCCTGCCTGGGGCATTTCTGTAGAGAAAAGGTTGCGTAGTTACAGAACTGCTAGCATCGTGCAGCGGCCACACTTACTGCTGGCTTTTATGACGAGACTGCGGGACGAATGAGTGGACTTTGTACTGCCTGGGGCATTTCTGTAGAGAAAAGGTTGCGTAGTTACAGAACTGCTAGCATCGTGCAGCGGCCACACTTACTGCTGGCTTTTATGACGAGACTGCGGGACGAATGAGTGGACTTTGTACTGCCTGGGGCATTTCTGTAGAGAAAAGATTGCGTAGTTACAGAACTGCTAGCATCGTGCAGCGGCCACACTTACTGCTGGCTTTTACGACGAGACTGCGGGACGAATGAGTGGACTTTGTACTGCCTGGGGCATTTCTGTAGAGAAAAGGTTGCGTAGTTACAGAACTGCTAGCATCGTGCAGCGGCCACACGTACTGCTGGCTTTTATGAAGAGACTGCGGGACGAATGAGTGCACTTTGTACTGCCTGGGGCATTTCTGTAGAGAAAAGGTTGCGTAGTTACAGAACTGCTAGCATCGTGCAGCGGCCACACTTACTGCTGGCTTTTATGACGAGACTGCGGGACGAATGAGTGGACTTTGTACTGCCTGGGGCATTTCTGTAGAGAAAAGGTTGCGTAGTTACAGAACTGCTAGCTAGCATCGTGCAGCGGCCACACTTACTGTTGGCTTTTATGACGAGACTGCGGCACGAATGAGTGGACTTTGTACTGCCTGGGGCATTTCTGTAGAGAAAAGGTTGGGTAGTTACAGAACCGCTATGCTCCGTTTCACCTTCCGTCCGAGCACAGCGGACGCTAGGAGCCATCCCAGCCAATGCGGCGTTGAGGGAGTGTCATGCGACCTTGAGCTCCCTGTGTCGCTCCGCCCCACCGGCAGGTCACGCGACTTTCTCCCGGCGCTGGATCGGCTGGGATGGCTCGTGGCGTCCACTGCGCTCGGACTGAAGGTGAAACGGAGTATAGCATCGTGCAGCGGCCACACTTACTGCTGGCTTTTATGACGAGACTGCGGGACGATTGAGTGGACTTTGTACTGCCTGGGGCATTTCTGTAGAGAAAAGGTTGGGTAGTTACAGAATTGCTAGCATCGTGCAGCGGCCACACTTACTGCTGGCTTTTATGACGAGACTGCGGGACGATTGAGTGGACTTTGTACTGCCTGGGGCATTTCTGTAGAGAAAAGGTTGGGTAGTTACAGAACTGCTAGCTAGCATCGTGCAGCGGCCACACTTACTGCTGGCTTTTATGACGAGACTGCGGGACGAATGAGTGGACTTTGTACTGTCCGGGGAATTTCTGTAGAGAAAAGGTTGCGTATTTATAAACCGGTTATCGCTTCGTTGCAGCCACACTTACCACTGGCTTTGAGGATGAGATGGCAGGCTGCATGGAGGGCATGGCGATGTTCAGGGAGTCCTGTGAAAGTAGAGTCATTGATGTACTAGGACGCTCATTTTAACTGGCAGGTATACTTCGTTCAGGCTGCGGAAATGAAAGATGAGTTTAGAGAGTGCCCTTACTGCAGACTACGGCCGAACCGGGACCTCCGTGCTTCCACTAACTCCTCCTTTGAAGGCCTGGCAAAGGCCGCAGTCATGGGCGCCGGAAAGATGTTTGTGCTGGCCTTCGCCGCA